GAACACTCAGTCAATCTTCCCACTTTTGGTGGGAGTGGGAGTGGGACTGTGTGTGTGAGGAGTGAGTTGAGAGCTAGATAAAAAGATTAGGAAGTATTAAGCAAAACAAAACAAAACAAAAGACCGGCTGCCATGGAGTCGAATCTGACCCACAGCGCCCCTAGAGGACAGAGTGGAACTGCCCACAGGGTCTCCCAGGCTGTCAATCTTCACAGAAGCAAAGCCCAGACCACCCCCACTGCTGTGGAGTCCATTCCAACTCACAGCACCCCTAGAGGACAGAGTGGAACTGCCCACAGGGTCTCCCAGGCTGTCAGTCTTTGCAGAAGCAAAGCCAAAACCAAACCCATTGCCGTGGAGTTGATTCCAACTCATAGTGCCCCTAGAGGACAGAGTGGAACTGCCCCACAAGGTTTCCAAGGCTGTCAGTCTTTACGGAAGCTGACTGCCCTGGTGCCCCTGGTAGTATCAACCCTTCAGTTAGCAGCTGAGTGCTTTAACCACTGTACCACCTGGGCTACTAAGATTGGGAAATACAGGGTTGGAAGAAATCAATAGATTTAGTTTATAAAATATGTTAAAAAAAAACAAAAGCCAAACTCACTGCCATTGAGTCAGTCAATAGAGAGGACATAAATAAGGACTACTGCTTACCAATTGATAAGGAGAAAGGGGGAGAGAGAGTGATAGGAAAGAAAGAGAAGGAAGGGAGTCAACCCAATGAGGAGAGTAACGGATACTGACACGTGAGTAGGAATCACGGGAAACCAAACTCAAGGAATCCTAAAATCCCATTCCACTGTTGGCCGCTGAAGACTCGTGCTGTGTGCTGAGGTCAGAGGCAGGGGTTGGAGTCGCCCCTCCCGTGGTCACTCAGTAATGAGCTTTGACGGTGCCTCGTCCTCACGATCACACGTGTCCTGCAGTGGAAGCCTCCCCGCTCTTCACCGTTTGCTCTTTGCTGTGGCTCCCAGGTGCCCCTCCCTGACCTTCTCTCTGTTTCCTCTGCAGGCTCGAACTGTACAGGAAAGTTCCCAATCTGCGGATCCTGGCCTGTGGTGGGGACGGAACGGTGGGTCTTCGTAAGAGTGTCCAGCTCCCCCGCATGCTCACCGTCTTTCTTTTGTCTTCCTTATGACCGGGCCCTTTCTGCATTCCACCTCAGTCTTTCCACTCTCCGAAGACACCCGTCTCTCTCTCACAGGAACTGTAGCCCCTAAAGGTTAGAAATAGGAGCCCTGGTGGTGCAGGGATTAAGGCGTTCGGTTGTTAATCAGAAAGGTCATCGATTCAAACCCACCAGCCACTCCATGAGAGAAAGATGAGGCAGACTGCTTCCATAAAGATG